ACTGTTGCTGAATAAACACACCTGCCAGTAAAACCAGGCAGTGCAAACCTGTCAACGCTGCCTCTTGCCAGGACAGTAGAGAAGGGGCAAGAGTTTGCAGGATCTATTGTTTCCACATACTTTTATTATTTATTTACACAGGGAGGCAGAGTGTTTTTCCATGTCACCGTGTGGTAGCGTGGAGCTCTCTCAAGCTGACAGTCCGCTCAGTCACTCTTACCTGAGGGTTCTCTAGGGTGTTTGGTCGGCAGAGCATTCTGCAGTAGGCTCAGATTGCACAGGTTCTGCTCTTCACAGTATTTTTGAGACCTAGCTGGTAGCACCCTTTAGTACACAGTATCATTTAAAGAGTGTTAGAGGTCTTTTTTCTTTTTTTAGCTGTCTGCTGCACTCAAGGGTAACAAAATGGTCTCAGGCCCCTTGGAAAAGTTACTGGTTTATAGACTTCTGTGTTGGCTGCGTTCTCCATAACTTCTTTAGCCTTCTGTTACACTGTTCTAACCAACTGGGCTGGAGTCCTGTCTTGTTCCAAGTTCTGTGGGGCTCCACGAGCATCGTGAAGGAGCCAAAAACCAGCTGTGTCTACAGGCTGAAAATTGCAGAAGTGCTTGGCAAGTCGCAGCTGATGGGGAGCTGCTGCCTGAATCCCTGCACCCTCCCCACAGCCTCAGCATACTACATTCTTGGCAATCTCAGGTTTTTCCTCCCTATCACAGGTTTGAAAACCTTTCTGAAGACTCTTGATTTTCTTCACAGGAATGGAGATAGAGGGAATTTTTACCTTTATGCTTTTAAATGGCCTGTATAACTGCTTTGCAGCACATCAAAGAAAGTCCTTTTCTCTGTGTTTTCATTATACCTGTACCTGACCTGAAGTCCTTCTCCTGAGCTCTTGAAAGCCACAGGTTGTCATAAGGCACATTGTCCCAAAACTGTAGGTGTCCTTTCATTCTCCAGCTGTAGTGGTCTCCCCTCTGTAAGGAAAGAAAGGGAGAAGAGGCCTTGTATTATGCTCCACTCCCTATCACCATACCAGGGGTTATGCCCACTTCATGTCTCTGCCAGTTTCATGATCAGGCAGCTAATTTTTGACTGTTGCTTTTTTTTACAAGGTGTAGTCAATCTGGAATGATTAGGGTACTGAAGACTGAATTCTGTGAAAATTTCTGAGTACAGGAGGATACTAGGATGACCAGAAAGGCTCTTGGCCTGCATGTGATAGGTACTTTGACTAGAGCCAGAGTGATCTACTTCTGGAGGGACATGATGAATCCATTTTGTAAAATAATCAAAGAATAAGTAACTCTGGAGACAATGTTCTTCAGGAGGAGCTCTTCAAATTGCTACACCGAATTGGGCAGAAGGAGGATTTGAGTCTAGTTCTCCCACACCTTAAAGGAGTGTCTTGTCCACCATGCTAAAGAAAAAAAGAGTCCCCTAAAGAGGAATAAGAAGGAATTTCTCCTTGTCAGAAGGAATTTCTCCTTGTCAGACCAGAAAACATTGTCATTTTCCCCTGAATACTTTGTGAGAACCTTATCTCAGCAAATCCTAAGGGTTTATTGGAACAGATTTTCAGCCAATGTTGTCAATACGTAGCTCCTTGTTCTTCCATCACCTTTGGAGTTTCAAACACAGGTTTCTTGCCTTCTGGCTTCTGCTATCATGACTGTACAGATGATTGAATCCTGATCTTCTAGAAGTCTAGAGCAATGGGGAGATGATACTACCTATGTATTTGCGGAGATCAGTGTATTTAGAAATAAGACATTTAGTTCTGCAATGTGCCATAGATTTTTTATGATAATTTGAACTGCAAATTAATCTGCCTTGCTTCAGAAGTATTTTGTTTGGGCATTTCCATGTTTATTAGATGATTGTGACAACTGTTTTTTATTCATTTTGTTTCATCACTAACAAAGCTTCTGTTGTTACACCTAAGTGTCATAAAGAAAATAGCCCAGTACATAGGAGAAGTTATGGAGGACTCAAAAGACAAAGTCCAGGAAAATCTTCTGGCCAATGGAGGTAGGTCCTGTGCATGTGGCTTTTTTTTAACACATTGGTGCTGCCTTTGTTTGCTTCAGAGTATGAATGTGTGGAATAGAAATGCTCACATGTTAGAAAGGACAGCAATCAGCAAGATCTTTAAGAACACATCTAGCCTGCTCCCATTTTTCTCGAAGTTACCAGGAAGTTTTATCCAGTGCCAGCTTTGCTTCCAGGACAGTGTTCAGCATTTAGTACGAAACTGGTTTCTAACACCAAAGCTGAGGAATGAAGAGGAAAGCAGGAGGCATTTGTCTTCACTCCTAAAATGACGTAGCACCTTTCTATGGCCTGTATGGGCTTGATCTCTTACAGGCAGCTAAATCTCATTCTGTGTGGCTTCATGGCATCTGCAGGTGTTCTGTCAGTGATTTTCCTTCCCTCCTACAGTGCTGGCATAGGCCACATTGTTTAACTGTGGGTTTCTTACATCAGAGGTGGACGAATGAGGCAATAGCTCCAAAATATGGAGCTGGGGCTGCACTCAAAATGTCATGCCAGGGGCCAGCAGGACATGCACATGCTGCTGCTTTTAGGAGGAAATGTCCTCCCATGATGTCCTGCTTGGGCTGGCAGCAGTTATGTAAGAAAGAAAAGCAGTCAGTGACAGCAATTGCACTTCTGACATGCCACTGCCTTAGTGCATGGTCCCCTACATCATCTCTAAGTACTCAATGTGGAGTTTTTATAACCTCCATGAACTAATTTTGTCCCTTTATTATCTAGTATGGTACTCAAGGCCCTAAAGAAAACCTGTGTCAAGGACAAAATTAACATTCAGAAATTGATGGCTCCTAGATCTCTGCATGTTTCATAGACCCTGAGTGTGTTTCAGAGCAAATTGTTCCCCAGCTATCCTGGAAAAGTACAACAAAACTGGACGTGTTACACGTGTCAATTACAGGCACTTGTAGAATGATGTTTTAAAATAAACTGAGTGCACACTCCATCACCCTTTGACTGTCTGCAGTGCTGTACTTCAGGTCTGTGTGAGCAAAGGATGGGGAGGAAGTTCTTTTAGTAATGTACTCTTGGTGTAACATACGACTAACATGTGAAGAGTGCAACTGCTTGACAGGTCCTATAATCCCACTTACTGTGTTTCAGGGTTAAAGGATAAAATGAAATGTCTCAAAAGTATGTTGAGGATTGAAGATTGCAGTGTTGTTACAAGCATGCTTTTGTGTGTGTTAGTGCTAGAGAGAAGTCCTGGTCTGGTTGTAGAGATACAGTGATCAGGTTACGATGGATTTCTCAAGTATCTACCTCGTAGCTTGATCACGATATCCCTATGACTTGAGAAACAACAGGTTTTGCTTATTTCTTTTGTTTCTTTTTACACCGGTTTCCTTTCCTATAAGCTTCGCATGTGTTGTAATAGAAGGACATGGAAATTACTTCTGTGTTATACTAATTTCTGTCCTCTTTCTAGATTTGGTCATCCAAACAAATCATATTAAACTAAGACATTAACCTTTCCAAGATTATTGACTGCATTTTTCAAAACTGAGCCAGCTTTAGCATATGAGAATTCCCCTGATATATTCTGGTGTCATTCTTTGTAAGCTGCAGCAACTTTGCTATACAAATTTTTCCTCCTCCTCTTTCTGGTTAGCACAAGGACCCTAAAGTTGAAGACTTCCTTGAGGTTGTGAAACCAGAAACAAAATTATAAGACATGGCTTCTTGCTGCATGGTCACGTTTAAGACTATTAGACTGTCCCAACTCAAATTTTGTTTTCAGTTACACTGTACAAGTTTTCTGATTTTAGCTCAGTTGTATATAATCCTGACAGCAAGTTTGGCCCATGAGCTGCTGAAGACGGTGGCTGTGTCTAACAGTTGTTTAGTTATATTTATCTGAAGCAAAATTAAAAGTAACAGAAAATACAGCACTTTTAGTTAAGAGAATACACACACTACATTCCAGTGGGCAGCAGTCAGAAGCAGCCACATGGAGATGTTTCTTTTTTAGAGGAAAATATGTGTTTGTATAATAAAAGGAATTGTAGTATATCACAACAGGAGGAAATGCTGTCTTGCTTATGACAGCATAAAAAATGTGAAATGTAAATAAAGCTTTTCTTCAAAGATTCGGACCAAATTGTCTTCCATTTATAGTAATGTTAAACCAAATTTGTTTTTAAAGTTTGGTAAGTGGTGGAATATCTCCATTCTTTATAATGAGCTCAAAGCAAAGCAAAATGGGAAACCTAACAATTTTGGAGAATTACGTGTTTTGAAGGAAAGCAGTTAGTGTTGCCTCTTAGAGCTGCATGAGTAAATCGGAGTTACAAGAGACTAAGGAGTTCCTTGGCAGCTGTGAGCACTTTGGGGTAGATAGGAAGCATCTCTCCTCAACGGGCAGCTTTGTGAAGTGTTTTAGAAGTGACTTGACAGGTTCCATAAATGAGGGGTGCCATTCCAAATCAGGGTGCTTGGACTGCTTGGCATTTTAAGCTCAGTTCTGCTAGTGTGTCCACAGTAGTTTGTGCCATTCCCAAGATCAGGCTGCTTAGCTGAGCTGCACCAGTGCCAGGGCACTGCTCAGGAATGACCTTATAAAACAGGCTGAGAAGTCATGCTGTGCTTAACTCCCTAACATTTGAATTCTTCTGAGATTCAAGGAATATGAGGATAGAAAAGGCATGTGTGGGTCTTCAGGGAACTTCCCTACCTCCTCAGCTATAAATAGGCCAGTGCCTGTCTTTAAAGAGCCTGCGAATAAATTGTTCCTCCACACAGCCCAGTCATAACCATGCTCTTTGCAGGTTTTATTCCCATTTAATTTAGCAAAATCTAAGCAAGAAAGCTTGGAAGAGAGGCAGCAGAATAAAATCCTTTTGTCACGTACCCTGTGCTAAAAATGCTCTGTGAACTTTGTTGCTCAAGTATTTTTGACCTCTCTGCTTTCCCCTCAGAGACCAGGGGCAAGCACTGGCAGAGAACTGCACACACAGGAGCCGTGTGGTAACTTTCCCTGCCTTCTCAGTATTGCCCCCTTTCCACACCTCCCTGTGCAGAGAATTTGCTGGTTCCCAGTTATAGCTTAGCAGGAAGGGTTGGATCTTTGCCTTGTGACGCCTGTCCCTTGAATCTGTGGGAGGTTTACGCAGCTGAGATTTTAGAAAGAGGGAAAGAACATGGTCGTGCCACTGCTCTCTGCCTCCCAGAGAGCTATCCCTTGCTAAGAAGCCGGTTTCTTCCTAACATAAGACTTTCCATGCTTTGGAAATCTAATCGGGTAAACTGACTCTGTTGTGGGGTGCAAAAAGCCCATGGAAAGGATAGTGCTGTCCTGCCAAGGGTGTTTGGTATCACATGGGACAGGGTAGTACCCTCAGCCTGCTAGGATGGCAATTACACAACTTTTCATGTTCCTTCTCATGCTTCCTGGTTCATAAAGTTTTCCCCATACCCTGGAAGACCAGCCTGGGTGAAATTGTGCTCAAACCTTTCTGTGGGACTGAATTAAGTGTCTGGAAAAGGCAGCAAAGAGCACTGAACAGTCTCCAGCATGCCCCTCCTTGTACTTGGTACCTTGAGCTTGTGTTACTCCCCATCTCCCCAGAGCAACTTCCCTGTTATTCTCCATGTGTACCCTCCTGGTCGGGAAGGAAGCCCATCCTGCAAGTGACAGTGCTTCAGGCCTCTGTCTAGACAGTGACACCTGGCCTGCTGCTTTTCTCCAGCCTTCCTAACCTGCAGTGGGATGGTCCCAGCTGCTCTACTTGTTAGCATGACTTTATCCCATCCCATAAAGTTGCCCAAGAACACTACTCAGGGGAGTGTTTGGCATCCTAAGGGCTCTCAGGACTCAGGCGAAGAGCTGCTAGAGAATTCCTTATTTGGTATTATAAAGTACCAAGCCTTAATGTTTCCTAATACTAAGAAGCCTTCGTCTTTGAACAGAGCAAAACAGCATGATCCTGTTGTAGGAGCTGAGTTTCATATGTGTCATCTCCCCTTGATTCTGGGAAGAAGCCATGGCTCCCTGTGGTCCGAGGGTGTCTTGTTTGGAAGGGCTGCATGCAGAGGGCTTTGCTGTGGATTTCTGTTGTTGGATGCCATGACTGGATTTATCCATTTAGAGAAATACCACACAGCTTTGTGCAAGATGGGGAGCTCTGCGTGCAAAGTCACGGCACCTGAATTTGTTTGATTTCTAGTGAGTGCCTGACTGAATCACAGAGAAGTGACATCAGCTACGCTCTTAATACCTTTGGTCAAACTCTCAGCAACCCTGAGTATTACTGCTGGTCGTGGGCATAAAGGAAAATCTTGCTGGCATTAAATTCAGCCATATTGCAGTAATCAAAACTGAGGTTACATGAAGCTGTTTCTACTGTGAAGAATGGCTGCACATTGCTGTGTGCTGCTGATACAGCTGATTTCATAGTAACGCTGTTCTGTGTTCTGTACTATTGGGTGTAATGCAGAAAAGATTTTTGGTTCAACTTGTAAGTTTGGGGGTGTTTAGCAAGATGATTAGGTTGGGCATATGATGTGTGTGGATTTGATCAAGATCAAATTTCTGTGAGGATTCACTCCTGTCTCTAATGTTAGTCAAAGTTATCCCTGGACTATAGCTGGGGACTGCTACCCAAACTTTGACTTGCCATCTGGTAAGCTATCTGCTTTCACGCATCTCTTTGCATTTACAGTTGACCTAATTAGCTACCTGACACGGTTTGAGTGGGACATGGCCAAATATCCCATCAAGCAGCCGCTGAAGAATATATCAGAAGCATTAGCAAAGGTAAGTTGTCCTGCAGATGTTAAGCTGTCAGCATGGGGATGCATGTCTTTTGGCAGTTTTTGGTCCCTCCTCTTGCGGCAGTCAGTGAGCACTTGGCTTTGATTCGTGCAGGGACAGGCTCAGAAGCACACACTTGGTGCTGAAGCAGTTGATATGATTTTAATTCATACTGTAATAATAATGGTACATATATTTAAGGCTATCCAGTCTGTAAGTTTATGGCACGTTTACTAGAGTCCGCGAATGTGCTTTCTGCACTTCAATACCTTTCATTGCAATGTATTATTGCTTTTATATACTGCTGTTTTATTCTCCATTTTATTCTACATTTTGGAGTTCTTTTGTGAAATTGTTGGCCCGAGATTAAATCAAATGCATTGCAGGCTGGATGAATTATTTACACTGTCAGTCCAGTCAGGAAAAGGGTGATGTGTTGTTCAGTGTAGGTAACAAATGAAACCGTGAACTCTCTCCTCAGGTACAGCTGTAACACCCAGAGCAGCAGGTAACTGCGCCCTGCTTTCCACAGGGGAGCTCTGACACCGGCTCCCTCTTGGGCACAGCCAGGTGGTTTTAGGAGGAACTGACAGATACCTCCTTGCCTTAAGGTGCAGAGTGAGCAGGGAGGGTGGTGAGGACAATGCATCAAGTGCTGAGTTGACTCATTTTTTTTACTTTGTCTTAGCAAGTGAATCAAATAGAAACAGACCTAAAGACCCGATCAGCTGCATACAACAACATTAAAGGAAATTTGCAAAGCCTGGAGAAAAAAACTGTGTAAGTATAGCACGTGAGTGTTCCTATCTGGCGTGCTGCATGGCTGAACAGAGGATGCTGCATGCTCACACCTATTGCTGTGCAGTGGGCCGTGGATGTTCTGATGGGAACACAGTTTTCTGCCTTTAGGACATGCAAAGCATCTGCAGACCCATTGAAAGCTGGGGGAGTGGGAGCTGGTGGGATCACGTCTCAAATCAGCTCAACGAGGCTGCGGTTCCTAACAGGATTCTATTGGCAGTGTGAGCAGTCTTGGGAGGGGTCAAACCCAAAAGCACTGTATTGTCCTGATGAGATTTCAGGAAGTCAGAAATTAGATGAGCTGGGTCAGCTGGTGGATTCCTTTGCAAGACAGAGCCCTTTCCTGTGTTCTGAACAGCATTTGCAGAGCTCCGTAGGAAACAGCTCTGTCTTGCTTGCCCCTGCACCTCACCAGCAGCCCACTTAGATTTTTCTTTGTTTCATTCTGTTGGCCCAGCTAATGCCCTGTTATGGTTTCCCAGATATTCTCTCTATCTTCAACTACTTATAGTAGTTTTTACTACTATAGTAGCTTTACCTATGTCAGTGCTTATACCTGGATATTTTCTCCAGGGTATGACTGGGAAGAATAGTAAATTACAGTAAGTAGTAAATTTAAAGCAATTTAGATGATGTTATGCAAGCCTTTACCTAACACATGCTCATATGTGTCAGTCTTTCCTCCTCAGGCCCCTTGCTCTGGGCACAGGACACAAGTTCTCACCTTCTGGCACTGCAGCCAGCCAGGCTGGCAGCTTGCCTAGAAACCAGCCTTTACTGAAGGAAGATACTCACAGGACCTCAAACAAAAGCTCCAGTGTGGCTGGATTTTTTTTCTGAATGTGGAGCTAAAGTGAGCGTGCCTGGCACCAGCTCCACTGATCCCAACCAGAAACCACAGAAAAAATACTCCCAGGTGATGATTCAGAATGAGTTTGTCAGAAAAACTCTATCCCTAATAGGGACCTACCTGCTCAACGTGGGAACTGCAGGGCTGGTGAGGGTCAGCAGAGCCACATCACAGTGACATTGCCCCCTCTGTCTGCTGCGTTCTTGTGTGCACGCTTCTCCACCACCAGGCAGCAGCACTGGCCTGTGCTTCCAGCTTGTTAGAGACAGTGGTAGACACATTTGTCTCAGGCTGTGTGCATCTCTGTTGTCTGCCAGTGCCAGCTAGCTTGAACAAATATCTACTAAGATATTACTGGCCACTTAATGTATGTTTAGAATGGCACAGTGAACCTCAAACTAAAAGCTACTGATTTAGGTCTTTCTTCACTCTGCCCAGTGACAGGAAGGGCAGCTGGTCTCTTCCCATGCACACCTTTGTGCCCACCAGCCAAGCCTGGCCAGCCCCAGCCATCTGCACTTCCTAGGTGTGCAGCACTAGTAGGACTTAATGTGATCAAGTAGGCTTGGGCTGTGAAGTGACCTCATCCTGCATGTCCCACCTTCCACAAGCCTGTGACTCCCACTCTCCTTCCGCTGGAGGTGTCTCTGTATGCCTGTTCACAGGAGTCCAAGTATGCCAGGGTTGCTGTGAGAGCTTAGGTCCATGCTAACTTTGCTTAGTCTGACTGAAGCATGGTCACACAGGCAGCTCAACAGGCAGCTTGAGAAGGCAGGTGCCTCCTGCAAGATGCAGCAATGACCAGGAGCGAGGTGGTAACTTCAGATGTGCACTTCCAAAGCATCTGCACCCTCAGTAAAAACTACTACATGGTCATATTAGAAGTGTAGATGTGCCCTTTAGCTGCCTCCTTCCTGCCTTTCTTTTACCCCAGTATACACTGTGTGCACCTATACCCACAGCACAATGCTTCCAGTGTGCTGCTGCTGGGTTCCTGCTAATGTTCTGGTTTGGTTTGTTTTTTTTTGTCTTCTTCACTGTAGGGGAAATCTGCTGACTCGGACCCTAGCAGACATTGTGCATAAAGAAGACTTTGTTCTGGATTCCGAGTATCTGATCACGCTGCTCGTCGTGGTGCCAAAGTAAGGGAGCAGTGTGTGCACACGCCCAGCGTGGCATTGAGGTCATGGCCTAAGCTCTGGATCCAGGTGGTACTGGGTCACGCTGGGGCAGCTCATCAGCACCATGGCTGGGGCATGAGTGGAGCTGGTAGTAAAGAGAAAAGAACAGTTTCTGCCAAGGGTGGTGCTGGCACAAAAGAAAGAAACAAAGATTGCTCTGAACGCGGAGCAGGACAGAACTGGGATGTAGGTCTTTAGCTGTTACAGAGTGGGTGCTCGAACAGCCTCCTGGTAGGAATAGTATGAGTTAAAAAAAAAGAGGAAAACAGATTCTTGCTGGAGCTTAGCCAGTTTACCAAAGGACCTGGCAAACTCACAAGGCTTCTGCTGGCTGTGTATCTGTAAGTGCCTGCACATGGGATGACTGCCATCGCCATCAGCTCTGAAGTTACACAGTGTCCTTCTCAGAACCCTACACAAAACTTTTCCTTTCTGTATAGCCCTGTCCCAACACACGCTTGGCATCACTTCCATCACACACCATCACTTTTCTGTCTGTGAAAACCATGTTACAAAAAGTTATCTGAGGTAAGATAAACAGACTTCCCGCTTTGCAAACACTTACCATCCCCTTGACCCCTTTCTCCCGGTGCTGGCACTGGCCATGTTTCCAGAGTAGTACCAGAGCAGCTCTGGGATTGCACACAGCGCACGTACCACACCTACCTGTGGATCCCAGGGAGCTTGTGCAGGGCTCCTGGAGCGTTGGACACCGTGTGGCAGCCTGCAAGTATGTGCCAAAAGCCACGTTCTTTCTACTGTTAGCTTTCTGCTCTGGACCCTTCTCCATGCCAAGACCCAAAACTGAGAGTTAAGGGTGCTGTGCTGAGGGAAATATCGCCCCAGCTGTTGACTGGATGAACTATATTTATCAACACATTTGCTTTCTAGTACATAGGATTTATTTACAGTGCTTTGGTTTGTGTTGCTCAAAGGTCAAGCTACGTACAGTGGCAGAAGACCTATGAATCCCTCTCCGACATGGTAGTGCCTCGCTCCACCAAGTAAGTGAAACACCAGATTAAGGTCCCTGTTTGTTTCAGAGATCCATGACATATTTCAGCCCCTCAAATTGCTGGGTCCTGTAAGAAATCACTTGTCTAATGCATGGGCTCCATGTTAACATATAGATTTGTCCAATGTCATTCTCCATTGAAATCAGAAATGACTCTGTTAAAGGGAAGTACAGATGAAAGTAAAAAAAAACCAACACTTTTTTTTTGACAGCTTGCTACTCTCAATCAGGGCCTTTGATTTTTGTGTAAAACAGACAAACAATTTGTTACGGTTATCCAGCCATAATTCAGACACATGCAGTTGCGTACAACTATATGGAAACTACTTTTTACAAAACCTATCTTTTTCACACATTGTCTTTGCATTTTTATTTGCTTCCTGCTGTAAATAGGATAAATCAGTGTACTGTCATTTGCATTAGCAAATGGCATGTGAACTTATCCTTTCACCTGGAGTAAAAAATCCTTCCTGGGAATGAAATATTCCACTGCTCAGGTTATGGAGACCATGAGTTCCAATCCAGGGCACAAGAGAGGACAGTGCTGTTATCTGAAATGGAAGAAGCAAGAAGCAGAGATACAGAAGAGACCTGTTTGCTACTGCCTGTCTCAAAAGTGCAAGTGCATGGAAAGTGGGGGAACATTACCAGGAAATGTAAAAAAAATGAGGCAGGCAGAATGCATGTGTGTACTGTGATGGGTTTAGGAACTCAGCTCATGGGAGTTTTACACTGGAGATAACGTGGCCAGTGCTAGTAAAGTCTTTGTTCCCTATTTCGGTCACAGCAGTTCTTGAAAAGCAAGGTGGTGTTTAGTATCTTAAATGAAAAACTGAACTGCATAGGAGAAGAGTAAAGAAAGCATGAGGGATGTGCCATGTCAAATCACAGCAGTGGATTTCCTTCCCACAGAATGATTGCTGAGGATGCAGAGGGAGGACTCTTCACCGTGACTCTGTTTAGAAAAGTGATGGATGACTTCAAGGCTAAAGCCAGGGAGAACAGGTAGGGAGTGCTGATTGCTAGGCACGGCCAGCCAACAAGCAGATGATGAGGATAAGCTGAGCCTTGTTCTGTGTGCACTACAGCTGAATCCATCCCTGTCTTTTGGGTCGTCTTTACTGTTTGGGCTGCTGCTGGCCCTAAAGCCACTGAGAAGGCAGGGTGGGAAGGAGCTGTGGCAGCAGATGCAGTGATCCTGTTTTTTAAGCGCCAAACTACAGATCCTGGAACTGTCCTTCTGCTCTCATACTAACTGACAGCAGGAAGCTTGCTTTCTGGGGGTGACTTGAACTCCCACCCTCCACGTACTTTAACTGGCTAAACAGCTAGCAACTTTGAAAGATCCAACACCTGCTTCTCCAGAGGCAAAAGAAATGAGTGCACATATTGCTGGGACTGTGGCTTATGAGAACAAATGTCATTCCATTGTAGGTTCATAGTTCGAGAATTTTATTTTGATGAGAAGGAACTGAAATGTGAAAAGGAAGAGTTGATGAAATTAGCTTCTGATAAGAAACAACAATACGTAAGTAGCACATCAAGTTGGTGGCCCAAACAGTGACAGCCTAAGCACATCTCACTCAGAAATGGCTTTATGGTTCCAACAGACTCCTGTGAGCTCTATGTAGCCCAGAAATCAGGCACAGGACAAATAACACAACTTGCCCAAGGTCACTTGAGTTTCTGGTAAACTGGGAGCCACTAATAGGCTGCCTGAGAATTCTCTCAGCAGCTGACAATGGTTTCCGTGGTGTTGGCAGTGGAGCTGCTGCACAGGGCGAGGGGCTGGCAGTACTTTTGGATCTGTTCCATAGGGCCCGTTACTGCGCTGGCTCAAAGTGAACTTCAGTGAAGCGTTTGTGGCTTGGATTCACGTGAAAGCCTTGAGAGTTTTTGTTGAATCTGTCCTGAGGTAAGTGGGAAACCATGCAGCGGTTGCTGTAGAAGTCAAAATGTACAGTGCTGTTCCTGGGGCACTGTGGGAGGGGACATCCCCTACACACCTTGTTCCAGGAGCTCACAGGAGACAATACAGGCGACCATACAGGTGACCACTAAAAAATAACATACAAAGCTGATGAAAAACAGTTCTTTGGGGGTACTTAGAAGGAAATGAAAACCAGAAAGACACTATTTAGTAGACTTTCAGCTTCAAAAAGAAAATGGTTTCAGATAAGGAGGCAGCCCACCACCACTGAGATCGTTTTTGCAATGCACCATGAGCTAGTGTGCCAGGAGACTGAGAAGGGGAAGGGTGTGCCCCTTCCCAGCAGGTGATCGTGTATGTTGGTGTGTTTCAAGGTATGGCCTCCCGGTGAATTTCCAAGCAATGCTGCTGCAGCCCAATAGGAAGTCTGTAAAACGCCTGAGAGACATCCTAAATGTGGTCTTCAAGCACCTGGATGAAGTTGCAGCAGCAAGTATAATGGATGTACGTATCTGGACTGCGAGCGCGTGTGCTGTAGCTTGTCTCAGCTTAGCCGGGCGAACACTCACCATCCAGGGCCTAGAGCACCTTGCACTGGGTGCAGCTCTCATCCCTGGTGGTTACAGGCTGGATATGGGTAACAAGCAGGCTCAGATTATGATGGAGATGCATAAAGATTGGTTACCTTTTCAGTGGAAGCATCTGATACTTACAGCTAGTGGACTGAAAAAGGTCTTCTCAATTATGGCAGCTCCTCTAGGTAAAAAGCTTCATGTCTTCTGTAAGATTCAGCTGAACTCAAGCAGCAAGAGGGAATCCAGAACTAAATGCTGGGACTGACACCTCTGTCCCCTGTGAAAGGCTGTCACTGGCTAAATACCTCAACCTAGGACTTCAGCAAGCAGCAGTACTTGCTTCTTCCCTTCCCCATAGTTCAGGTACACAAATAATTTAGGATAAACCATCAGGTGTTAAACAGCCTAAAACCAAGCAGCATGATTCTCAGGGCGTGAAGGGAGCAGAAAGAAATGAGTTGCTCTAGAGTTGAGCCACACAAAAATGCTACAATACACACTCAAAGTTGCAACCGAGCATAAATTCTCAATGCTAACTGCATTAGGCAGCCCAAACCCACAAGATTCTCAGTGATGAATTCCCCATCTTAAGGACAGCAGATACAAAACTCAACCCCACCTGTGGAAGAGGAGCACTAAAGCAATCCACTGCAGCCTGGCACTGTGCGGCTGTTCACTGGTACTAAAATCGTGTTGTTTCCTTTTGCAGCCTGGCATGGACATCCCTGGGTTACAGCTGAGCAATCAAGAGTACTACCCTTATGTCTATTTCAAGATTGACCTCAGTCTTCTTGACTGAAGTCAAAGAAAAATTGCTCAAGCTTCATCTATTAATTTTCAAGACCCTGAATGTTACAGAAAACAATATTTATCTGCTGAAAGTCAAATTAAAGTGCAGATGCCGTAGCAGGATAATCACATGATCTTCCTAACACTTTTGGAGATTTTTACAGTGACTTAAATCTCTTGCTTATAGTTTTACAAAGACATATTTCAGAGGCAGGAGGTACTATGGTAGTATTTATTTTTTTTTGTAAGTTACAAAGATGGAGTATCTATTGGACTTGAAATAAAACAATTTAAAAAGTGTGGTGGCTAGTGAACCTATTAGGTCTATACAGTCCTGTTTTTCTAACAAAGCAATCTTAAATAAAAAACCAAAACCAAACAAAAAGCAGAAAGCATCAGACCAAAACCCATTTTTTTTAATTTAAAAAAAAATTAAAAAGCAAGATCTTCAGAATTGCTGCAGAACTTATTGTAGTATGACTTACAGTTGCAAATCCTCCTAAGTTTAGTTTTTGCCAAGACATTTCGGTCAGAAGAGTTCCCTTGGATCTCATCTGCTGGGATGACTTCAGAGGAGGAGCACATTTCCTGCACCAGATCAGCAGTCGTTACTGTGGGCTACCAGTGATTCCTACACTGCCCTTCACAGGGGTGGGCTATGGGTGATCTTTTACAGGCACCAGATGACAAATACCCATATTAAGTTATTTCCTTCAAAGGAGGGGAAATGTCAGTTCTTTCATTTTTCACTTATGAACAAGCTGATGGCATGAGGGCCACTTCACTAGACACCAACACACAAGACATGGAGAGCAAAAAAATATGATAGTATTTTTATTTAAAAAGCAGCAGTAACCATTCCCCTTCCCAGTCCTGATTCCCCTTCCAAGGAAATAATTCCAAATCAAAACAATGCCAGATGGGAAGTGAAGAATTATTACCCAGTTTGCTGGAGACAGCGCCGTGGTGATTTTCTGCTAGCACCTAGAAATTCCCATACCCTAAAAATGCTAATCCTGGGGAAAAGAGTAACAGCTCCCGGTGTCTCCCACTGCAGCAGCAACCCCACTTCCATTGTATTGATGGTCTTATTAGGTCTGGCACAAAGGAAGAGAACACCCCTGAGAAGGAATAGGAAGACTCGAGCATTTAAGCTAAGATTGTCCATTTAATCGGGCTTTAGGCCAAGCTGGCAAGAGAGCAGGCCTAGGTTGGCCTAGGCCTCCCCTCTGCACCAGCCTCCCTGCTCTACACTTCATTTTTCAAGAGTCATCCAAAAGGGGATAGCTTTTACGATGCGCACCTTTATAACGCTACACAACACTAACACTGTGTGTCAAAAATATTTTGGTTTATTCTTTAATTGAAACAGAAGCTGACCAGGTTCCACCTCCATGAAAAAAAACATACCACATTTAAAATTGGTTACACTAACAGCCTCCAGTAACACTCAAACAGCACGCTGCCAACAAAATAAAGCCCAAGATGTTCCAAAGAAATATCCATGATGTCCTCAAAATATTTGTTACACAGAATACAATCAAGTTTACTGGTTATGACAATTCATAGAATTTCTGCAATGTTTTCTTGAGATGCGTACAGTTCACTGCTGCAGTGCATCAAACAGCACAGTGTGTCAAGTGCTATTTCTCCATAAAAAGGCCACTGGAATATCTGTCTGATTGTGAACCAGGTTGCAAACTGCTGCACAAACTCTCCCAAGAAAAGAAGTTTCCTGAAGATCTCACAGCTCATCTTTATCCCAGTCATCCAGATCCACGTCGCTGAGATCAATGTCATCTTCAACTGGAAGCTGTGAAAGAGGGAAGGTTTTGAAGCACGCGTTTAGAAGCGCTTAACACCAGCACATCCCTAACTTTGAAAGATGCTCACTTCACTCAGAGTAAAGCTCCTTCATTCATAAAGAACTCGAAATGTATTACTCACAGGACAATAATCAGAGTTTAGACTAGAAGGTTGTTTTCTACTATAAAATATTCCAGATACAGGCAAGTATGTAACAAAGCTGCTACCATATTCGGTATTTTAATTCTACCTAGATCAAAGGATTGCAGTAACTTTGGGTTTTGCAGCAATGTTAAACCTTAAGAACATACTTAATCACTGTGTTATTTATTACACAGGCTTTACCTTACAAACTTTCTGACATTAAGACTTTGATGGTAGGTCAGTATATTGCAGAGCCGCAGTCTCCACAACACTGAGGTCTTGAACGCATACACTGCCACCTCCCCTCAGTGCAGACAACCACATTTCAGCCTCAAGGGATTCAACTTTCAGACTACATCCTGACAGCCAGGTAGAAGTGTCTGCCTCCAGTGTCAGACTGCACGCTGGTGGCAGGATTAGATCATGGGACAGCATCAACAACTTGCCACAACTCTGAAGAACAAGAATTTTCCCACTGCCAGTTCCTAGTTCCTCTATCCAGTCACTCCCAAAGCTCGCAAACATTGGCACTTCTAGAGACGGAGCACCTCTTACCTCACCATCTTTGCCATCCCAAGGCTCAACTGAATGGATTTTTGGGAAAGCTCCACCACCCACTGGTGCTGTAGAGCCACGACCAACAGACAGTTCCCTGAGAAAAAATAATTAAAGTTAAACTTAAGAAGCTTCTCCAGCCTCCATCCACCTGGAACGGTGCCTGCTTCAGATAAAAGGAAGCCAACTTTGAGATCTCATTCCTTGAAGCATATCTAAACTGTCTGGAAGAAAAAGCTTTTCAGAGCAGCAAGTGATAGAGCCCTTAAGGCAGCACTGCAAATTTACAGTTGGATCTAAGGAGACAAATTACATGAGCTGCACTCTTTCTTCTTTCAGCAGTTTAACAATCATGGACAACACAGCCACTTTAACAGTACGTGGTTTATCACTTCAGGCAGCTCCAGGAAGAGTCTGTAACTAATTTTTCAAGTCACCTGCATCTGTTACTCACAACCACTTGGGAGCTAAGCCTCCAGGAGTTACAATGGGTACAAGGCAACCAGTTCCTGCTTTCAGACACTCCATCCTGCATTTGCTTGCTCAAAAACCCCAACATTAAAATCCTGAAGCACTGATCCCTTTGCATTCTTTCAGCAGCAAAGAAGACTGAATAAGCACTCCTCCCCAGGAACAATCTACACTTTTTATGCTCTTTTCAGTGTTGATCTCCTTACTTTTGGTCAACAGCATTGGACTGCCTATTAGATTACAAGAGCTGTACAGAGCAAGCCGAGTTAATGGCCAGCTACACCAACTGTGGCTGCACTGCACAGCTACGTGTCAGCTAATACATTACTGCACCAAGTGCTGTTCTGTAGTCAGACTCAATTATCTCATGCAATATAAGCTATTGAAATTGGCTGTTTTTTCCTGGAAGCACCACCCACCCTCACTGGGAGAGGCCTCACTAAGATGGACTTTATGGACTAGGGAGAATTTGCCATGTCTGAGAAAGGCAGGCGTTTCCCACACGCTTTAGTACAGACTGTCTGGTATTACTCTTCTTGTGTCTGAATCCTCAACTTCACTCGATGCTCTGAAAGCATTCTCTTTTTGGCATTAAGAAGAAAGCCAGATCATTTAGGAAAGAGAAAATAGCACTGTTCTCATTAATCCCACAGGAACAAGGTTCAATTAATGTGCTTCTTACAACACAGTGGGGAGAAGCTTGTATTTGCTTTTGCAGTTCTGATTCTTCTCTGCCACTGTCTGAGCAAGAACATGGAAATGACACTGCTCATGTAAGCTCTCAAAGGCTCTCTCATACCTCCTGGCAGCTGGTGGTCTAACTAGAAGCAGAGTTCCCACTTCACTTTGACCATGCTTAAGGAACAGTTTCAGTTTAGCGGCTGTTTCAGTGCTGCTGCCACCTTCTCCTCGCCCCTCCATTTCCCTTCCCCATTCAGTTCTTCTCAGCACTGGCTCTTGCTCAGCTACACAGGAGGCAGTTTCAGGGAACTGGAGCTGAGCAGAGAACTATTGCCTTTTTGGATGGATTCTTTCAGCTCTCCCTGTTACATTTACCTGATGCCAGAGGAATTGGGAAGGGGAAGGCAGGACTAGACCAAAGAGGAAAGATGAACTTGTGCAACCTCAACAGCACCCATTCAGATTCCCAAACTGGGAATTTCCCAATTACTAATCATTAATCAGAATGCACCATTTGAATTAAATAGCGTTGATTACCACGTCCCACTAATTTCTTGGGTTATGAGATAATCAGAATATTTCAATTTCAAACTCACTTCTGTTTTCAAACTGTTCTCAGAAGTTGCACTAGAACTATCATTAAAGTTTAAATGGCAAATTTCTTAATTCTGTCCACCACAGAAAAGTAGCAACTGCTTTACTAGTCACAATCCCCACTGAGATATTCCCCTTACTCTAGTGAATGCTCATTATCTTAACTCTCTTAACCATGGAAGTCTCATCTGTGACCAGGAGACCTGGATTTTGGTCCAAAGAGTCATAACCCCAGTTACAGAAAGATTAAAGTCACTTAAAGATTTCATACCTGAGAAACTCATTAATCCCTTGCTCACTGAATGACCCTTTCAGAAGGGCAAATTTCATCTTCCGAGCATTAACGGCTGCCATTGCTGGATACCCAAAGCCTCCAATCCCCAAAGAGCTCTCAAGATCTGACTGAGCACCTGCTTCTGTCCACAGCCACCTTGAGGAAAAGATAAAACAGAAAATTAATAATTAGGATAGGCACCACAATCACTGTGAAATCACACATCTGCAACCCTGCAGAGTTCAAGATGGGCTCTGAACTGCCCCTGACAGTGTCAGCTGATATTGAAGTCAGCAGGGAATAGAAGTGTCCTAATCTTGAACCATGTCACAGAAGAAGACCATTCCTCAACAGCACCTCTAGGCCAGCCCCATGCTCACAGCCACTGAAAGCTGGATCAGAAACAGGAGCCACCAGAGTCCAAGGAAAGAACTATGTTACCAAGCTGAATAAACTGCTACACTTCAGCCTATTAAAGCAGCTCA